TCTCCTGCTTCTGAGGCTCCCAACACTCCTTGTTGGTAGTAGCTGAGGAACCAGGTGCCTTTAGTTGAAGGAAGGGAGTCTCCAGCCTGTGGGGACAGAAGCATTCCTGGGCTGGGTGCTTGTGGTGGAATCCTCCTTACTAACGTCCTCTGCCAAGTGGGGTCTCTAGGTGAGAGACAGGAGTCCCAGACTGGTGGTGGGAAAAGAGAGCACTTCCCCGGCAAGATGTTGATGGAGGGCTTTCAGTTGATGCCACTTGCTGTTTCTGTGGGACTTGTCTAATGTTGTTGGCAGGACTTCTGTTCAATTTGGAGGAAGAATAAGGTTAACTGGATGCCTTCTCTTGCTAGATTGGGTATTGGGAAAAGCTGGGCCTGGGTTATCTTTTGTTGGGTTGGGATGGAGGGGATTATAAAATGCCCTGCTGCTGTGACCTAGGATTTCTGACCAATTAACCTTCCTCTTTCTACCTTTCAGAGTTCTCTTTTGGTTGTCTCTTGTGTTATATTTCCAAGGTTTTTAGGTGTGCTTAGCAGGGAGAGAAAAATCTACACCATCTTGCTTAGACTGGAAGTTCTGTATATATGCTTATTTATTTATTCCGAGACACAGTCTCACTCTGTCGCCCAGGCTGAAGTACAGCAGCATGATCTTGGTTCTCGGCTCACTGCAACCTCTGCCTCCCAGGTTCAAGCGATTCTCTTGCCTCAGCCTCCAGAGCAGCTGGGATTACAGGCATGCATCACCATGCCCAGCTAATTTTTATATTTTTAGTAGAGATGGGGTTTTGCCATGTTGGCCAGGCTGGTCTCAAACTCCTGACCTCAAGTGATCCACCTGCCTCGGCCTCCCAAAGTTCTGAGATTACAGGTGTGAGCCACCGTGCCTGGCCTATATATGCTTATTTAGACATAAGATCTCTCTAGAAGGGTACACAAAGAATTGATAATATTGCTTCCCCTGGGGAAGTGATTTGGGGGATATGAGGTAAGAGAAAGACTTTTTTATATACCTGTTTTCATTTTAATCAAATGAAAGATTATCTTTTTAAAAATAAAATGCAAAAGAAGAAAGAAGTCTTCTAACTCAGCCTTGTTTTCAAGAGCACAGCCAAATATTATAACAGTGGCCAAGTTGTGTATGGATTCAACAGTTGGTAATTTTATTAAATTTCACTGATTTTTAATTTCACTATATTGTGACTGCTTTGATCCAGATCCCACAATATAAGAATAATAGTCTCAGTGGATTTCCAGCTTGCTCATACATTTTGAATAACTTGCAGAATACAAATATGTAATTTAGGGAGAAGTAGATGCTTTTGGCAGCATACTAGTACCCTAATCACCTGAAAAAATAATATTTGTATCACATTAAAACAAAATTAATAGCAAGACACTAATTACATGAATAGACTTTATGTTGTAATTGTTAAATTTGCAAACAACTCAGCATAATTAATGCCTTAATTAACATATGACCTGAAATTTTAGCTTACAAAATTAATAAAGACAATTAAGAGTCACATTTTTAAAGTAAAGTGGATTTTAAAAATTACAAGGAAGTTGGATGTCACTTTTTTCCCTCCCCGTTTTGGGGAGCAGTTTTGTAGTTATTACAAAAATTAGTTAACTGACAATGCAATTATGGCATTCCCTCCCACCTCCCCTCCCCCAGCACAGTGTCCCAGCCTGAAGCCTTCAGTCAAATTCAGTGATCTTCAGCCAAGGACGTCCACCAACAGGTGTGGGCAGCTCCCAGGCACACTCCTCTGGATAGGTCTAGGGCAAGATGGAAAAGCAAAGACTTTTCTCTCCCTAGCACCTTAAGGGAAATATAAACTAGAAGATTGATATTCACTTTGATCAGACTCTACCATTTTCATGTAACCATTTGGTTCCAAATTGCAGTTCGCACCATTGTCATTTCTTCTTCAAAACATGCTTCTCAAAGGCATTTCAGTCCTACAGTTTGCCAGTGGTGAAGGTTCCAATCCAAACCCAGAGAATTTCCCATTAATAGATAAATATAGAGACTCAATAAGTATTAGTGGGCTAAGGATTTGGAAAAAAATTAGATCTGGAATTTAACCTCATTCCTTTTTCATATTTTGGCATATGAAATATGCCAAAATAAACCTCAATTGGATCAAGATTTAGTGTCAAAGCAAAATCATAAATGTGCCAGAAGAAGATAAGGTGAATATTTTTATAGTGTTGTAATTGCAAGAGGTCTTTTAACCATAATTGGTAAAACAAAAGTCATAAAAGAAATGACTAACAAATTTGCCTAATTTTAAACTTCTGAACAGTAAGAAAAAGCACATAGGTTAAAAAAACCTAATTCAAGACTAAATCAAGAAGTAACTGATTAAAATCTGAAAATTTATTTATACTTTGATTCTTTTTTTCCCATAAAGGCTTAGCTTTTTACCTCATAAGAAAATAAGTAATTGAAAATATGCATTGTAATATATGTACATTAAGTATAAGGAATAAGTAAAAGAACTTATGTGTTCAATAACAACTTGCAATGTGACTAAACAAATTACAGAATAACCATAGACTAACACCATTAAAAATCAGACTATTTAGTAACATCAAGATATTTTCATGATAAGACCTTGTTAATAAAAAAAAAAAAAAAAAAAAAAAAAAAAAAAAAAAAAAAAGCAGTAGTAGTCCAGGCGTAGTGGCTCACGCCTGTAATCCCAGCACTTTAGGAGGCCAAGGTGGGAGGATCACCTGAGGTGGGGAGTTCAAGACCAGCCTGACCAACATGGAGAAAACCCATCTCTACTAAAAATACAAAATCAGCCGGGCATGGTGACAGGCACCTGTAGTCCCAGCTACTCAGGAGGCTGAGGCAGGAGAATCACTTGAACCCGGGAGGTGGACGTTGTGGTGAGTTGAGATCGCGCCATTACACTCCAGCCTGGGCAACAAGAGTGAAACTCCATCTCAGAAATAAATAAATAAATAAATAAAAATAAAATAAAAAAGAGGTAGTTGAAGAATATAGACTAATACAACCTGATTTTTAAATGTCTTTTCTAGATAGAAAAAAAAAAAAGACTGGAAAGAAACAAAATAATAATGATAATTATTACTAGAGGTAGGATTATGGATAAATGTTATTGCCTTCATTTTTGGTAATTTGCAAATTCTCTACAATAAGCAAATTAGTTTTGTACTCAACATATCTTTTGCAAGTTGGAAAACAGTTTAATCATCAGTCACCAAAACCCACAGGTGTATCTTAAATGCTTACAAGCACAGATTATTCCACTATTTCTGTTATCACCGTGACCTTCATGGTAGAGTATCACAAGTTAAAAGTTTCTGGTTGTTTCATCTACTTAAAACTATATGTAAGAAAGAACCTGAGTCTTAGCAAATTTAGGCTTCAATGTGAAACTGTCAAGGCTCTTCTGGCACTTTGGGAGGCCAAAGTGGGAGGATTACTTGAAGCTGGGGGTTCAAGACCAGCCTGGACAACAAAGCAAGATCCCATCTTTTTAAAAAGGTAATTTCAAAAAATTAGCTAGGCCTGGTGGTCCTGATAGCCTGAGTAGCTAGCCTGAAGTCCTAGCTACTCAGCAGGCTGAGGTGGGAGGATTGCTTGAGCCCAGGGGTTCGAGGCTGCAGTGAGCTGTGATCAGATCACTGCACTTCAGCCTGGGTGACAAAAGTGATGCCCTATCTCTAAACAAACAAGCAAACAAACAAACACTCTCCTGGAAAGATTTTCTCTCTCTGAAAGCAGCTGCCTTGTCCCGAAGGTGGTTAAAGTCCACACATCTTTCTTCCTCCAACTAGCCAAGAGACAGTTAAATACCTCAAAATGCCCTATGAGGTCCCAAAACATTGTCAAGACAAGTATCGGACAGGCTACATGCCTTACACGTGGGACAAATATCAGAATTTTGAGAAATTCATTAAACTCATCATGGAATTCTTAGAGGACTGACATACTACAGCGCCAGTGCAGAATATCTCCTGGAGTAGGAAGCCCTGAACTAGTGTTTCTTCTGTCACTGATATGCCTTTCTAGACTTCGGTGTAGAAGCAGATGATTTTTTTTTGTGTTTTGAGTTGGGGATTTGTCCCTTCGACTTTAATTTTACAGCTTCCCTCATATGTTTGGGTTGTAGTAGTGGCATTTCTCCCTCAATATTTTTTTATTCCTTGGATACTTAAAATAAAAACTTTGAAATGTCTTTTTCAAAGTTTTCCAGAAATAACTAACTTGGAACTAGACTATAAAAGCTCAAAAGTAAGGGCTTGAGAAATATGGCTTACAAATACAGCATTCCACCCAACTCCTTTTATTAAAAAAGAATTCTTCTACCTGACTCAGTGACGCTATATCAGATGGGTTAAATGACAGTGGTTGGCAGGGTGCAGTGACTCATACCTGTAACCCCAGCACTTTGGGAGGCCAAGGTGGGCAAATCACCTGAGGTCAGGAGTTCAAGACCAGCCTGGCCAACATGGTGAAACCCCGTCTCTACAAAAAAAAAAAAAAAAAAAAATTAGCTGGGTATCGTGGCACGTGTCTGTAATCCCAGCTACTTGGGATGCTGAGGCAGAGAATTGCTTGAACCCGGGAGGCGGAGGTTGGAGTAAGCCAAGATTGAGCCACTGCACTCCAGCCTGGGCGACAGACTGAGACTGTCAAAGAAGGAAAAAAAAAATGACAGCGATTGGTTGTGGTCGGTTCACTCATTTCTCTCTCTCTCTCTCTCTCTCTCTCTCTCACTGCAGGTCTAAGACATAGGCTGCCCTTTCCTAAGGCCCAGCATCATCAGTGAGTTCTTCCATAAAATCAGTGCCATGCCTGTCCATTCCTCACTCCTATGTTGTAGAGCAGGGAACATTAGATCTAAAATTTGGATTACCTGGTCTTAGCAAGAAGCTTATGTCTTTAATGGAGGCACCTACCAGTCACAAAATAACTATCACTAGTAGCACAAGAAAAGTCACCATTGAACTCTGTACCTGTAGGTTTTCTTAATTTCTTCATTTGATGCTCCCTTACGCAGACCAAGAATTTCGTATAGAGCTTCTCCTGTTGTTGACAGAGTCCGCTGTCTTTGGTTAGGTACGTTACATGCCATTTTCTAAGGCTGCAAAACTAAAAGAGAGAAAATAGCCATGAAGGTTATGCACACTACTTCCCACTCTCTAAAGGGGAAGACAGCTCATTTTTGACCTTTTGGAAAATGACAATCTAAAGAATATTTGTGTACCAACTGCAAAAAGAGGGGAGAAAAGGGTTAGGAGAGCCAAAAGCAGAGCTCTGAATCAGGGTGTTAAAGGGTACAGGCAGCCATGCAAATGGAACAGGGCTTCGTCCACACGGTTAAATAGAAGCAAAATGTCATCTAAACACCCAGTGAATTCAGAATTGTTGAGAATCAATCCTCACAGGCCGGGCAAATGTAGAGCTTTTTGGTCTTCTATTTTTTTCTGGAATTTGCTTAACTTCTTTTTCATATATTTTCCAAATTTAGCCAGCAATGGAAGTGGTGGATATGGGGCAAGCAGTGGCTGGGGGATGTTGTCCAAATTAGGCTAAATTTCAGTTAAATAGGAGGAATAAGTTCAAGAAATCTGTTGTACAACTTGGTGACAATAGTCAATAACAGTATATTATATATGTATGTGAAAATAGCTAGGAGAGTAGATTTTAAGTGTTCTTACCACACAACAAAAAGAGAAATGAGCTAATGTGTTTGCTTACCTTAGCAATTAGCTTACCTTAACCATTCCATCATGTATGTACACATAAGGCAAAACATCACACTGTACACCATAAATATACACAATTTTTGTTTGTCAAATAAATAAACAAATCGACATAATAATTCAAATCCTAGGACTACACAATATAGAGTTAGAGGCCATCTAGGCCATCTTAACAAATGCCTTTTGGGGTGTTCTGGCCAGAGATCATAGTAGTAGATAATTTTCTTATTAGCCATTTAGCTTTTCTTTTTCTGGTGAGTGCATAGGTTCCCCCACTGCAACTTGTGCTTTTCCTGAGACCTACCTCAGTCTTACCCAATCTCCGTTAGTCCACCAGGTAGAAGTACCTGACCCAAGTCAAACCAATTAGAATTCTTCCCTAAGATTTTAAAAACATAGAACAATCTCTCAGATGGTGAAAATTATACAATTGAACATTTGAGTATTGTTGGCTGGCCTGAATTAAGAGACGGTGAAAGAGAGTGAGAGCCTCAGTGGGGTTCAGTTCCTGGCTCCGGTTGTTCTCGGGTCCACCTGCAACTCTTACCCTACAACAGTTTGTCTATCAACCCTTCCTTGGATTGAGCCAATAAAATTCCTCTCCATGTACAAATGTACACGCATAGTTTTTCACCTAGCTTGTGTGTTTCAGCTAGGTTTTGGTCACTGTCAACCAGGACTCCTAAATGCTGTTATACTCTCTCAATTAAACACCAGTGGCAGCTCCCTGAGCATCGCCAAGCCAGACAAACTATTGTGGAAGTTTCTTAAATCACTGCACCTACTCTGCCTTTAAGTTGAATGTGGCTTCTGGGTACTTGGGAAAGAATACTTTGGGGAAATAATAGTGATAAACTAAGATATTCAAACCCAACAGATTTCAAATGTGTTGTGTTGACATTTCTAGTACAGGTAAGAAGAGTTATGTCTGCTTTATCGATTTTTCTCTATATGCAACATCCAAAAGAAACCATTTTGATAGTTTCAATTTGAGGGAAAAATGTATTTCCTCTTCATCATCTATGTCATAAAATAAGAGAGATGTCATGACTCCCATAAATCAACAGATAGTTGTAAAATCAATTTTAACAAGGCACAGAGAAGCATAATTTTCATGTTTGTGAGCACCGTGCTCTATGACTCACTCACTTTGATTGCTTCCTACTTGGATCTTGCTGTCACTAATCCAGGAAAGAGATATACAGTTTACTGAAGATAATCTACTACACGGATTATGATCACACCCACAGCCGACAATTTAATTATGGTCATGCACCACTTGACAATGAGGCTATGTTCCGAGAAATGCATCCTTAGGGGATTTTGTCATCGTGTGAACATCACAGAGTGTATTTACACAAACCTAGATGGGAAAGCCTACTACACACCAAGGCTATATGGTATAGCCTATTGCTCCTAGACTACAAACTTGTACAGTGTGTTACTGTACTGAATATTGTAGTCAACTTTTTAACACCTAAACACAGAAAAGGTACAGTAAAAATGTAGTATAAAATATAAAAATTGGTACATCTGTATAGGGCATTTGCCACAAATGGAGCTCAAAGGACTGGAAGTTGTTCTGGATGAGTCAGTGAGTAAGGGATGAGTGAATGTGAAGGTCTACGTCATGATTGTACACTTTTATATAACGGGCAATGCAGTAGGTTTGTTTACACCAGTACTGCCACAGACATGAGTCATGTGTCACACTACATTATGACAGCTACAATGTCACTAGGCAACAGTAATTCTTCAACTCCATTACAATCTTCCGGGACCACCATTGTATATGTAGTCTGACGTTGACCAAAATGTTGCTATTCAGATGACTACATTTATTCAGAAGCCTAAAGTGTGGGTTAGGTCTTCAGAGAGGTTGCAGACTAATATGGGATCCAAATGTATAAGCCAAAAATGAAACTAGTGTTCAGGGTCAGAGAAGTACCAAGTATAGAGATCAAACAGAGGAGCGATCTCCTGGAGGACAGGATTCTGCTTGGGAACCATGCCATTAGAGGCCTCGCTTTGTACTTGGCACGGATTAGGTATCTGGCAAATGTCCGCGGGGTGATTCAAGAGCAAGTGCTTAACTTGAGTGAGAGTGGGAGGGATGGCCTCGCAGAAATGGTGAAGCCTGAACTGAAAGCAATACTACCACTTGCTTCTGTAGAACTTGGTTCACATTTTTCTATTACAGCCCTTCTATCTAAGTCTAACCTCAGATCTGTATGGCCTTGGTGGCCAGTGACTCTCTTGGTCATCTATTTGCATAAATCAACACGAAGTAGGACTTCTGGGTTTGGGGGCTGAAAGAGGAGGGAGGAAATTTTGACTGGGATCTAGCTCAGAGAGAAGATGAGGGGAGTCTAGACTAGATGATGTCCACTGGTCCCCTGCCCTACCCAAGAATGTGTTTTTGAGCTCCTCTGGGGGAGAAATTAGAGACTGAAGAGATGTTTGCATGAGCCCTCTGTAAAGACTAAAGGAAACAACGATCTGCAACTCTGAAACCATTTCATAGGGAGAGGCAGCACCCAGGCCATGCTGGGCCAACATTTTGCTACAAAGAAAGTAGCAACAGAGAACGTGGCAGAAAGTCAGGGGACACTGCTGCCTGCCCCTTCCCCCGCCCCTTCCTTCCTGCCCCTGCCCCTTCCTTCCCTCCTATCAGGCCTGATAGGAGAAGGGCTGGTCACAGAAGGCACAGAGTCATTTCAGAAAACATTTGCAATACCTGCTAGGGATACTCAGAAATATTTGGGGTGTTTGGAAGCTCCAGAATCACAATGTAGGAAAGACTCAGTACCAGCAAGGGGCAGGAAGAGTGAGGGTGGGCAGCTGGGTGGTGGGGTGTCGGGGAACTTCAGGTTGCTTTGTATATACTTTAGCTGGGGTTAAGAAAACATCATTGATTCAAATTTTAAAATGGGCATGGTGTGGACTAATGCTAATGGAGAAAATGGGGATGAAGGGTGGACACTAATCTCCCTGAGCACTGGCACATCTTTGGGAGGATTTTGCAGGAGGTGGGGCCCTGTATTTGTACAGGTGAGGTCTAACAGCACAGCAAAATGAATAAATGAATACCAGGAAGGTCACATTTATTCCCACAGCCAATGGGCCTGGGAACAACAGGGTTTTTACACTCAACAAAACATTATCCACTTAAATATCTCTGCACCACCATACCCTGAGCTCCTCAGGGGCTGGAATCCAATTTTCTATTAATCTTTGAAATACAAGTGACATAGCACAGGGCTATGTTCCATAAAAGTCTTAAGAGCTATCATATTGCATGAAAGGGAAGGAAAACAGAGAATTATTCTTTACTGAGCCCCTCCTATGCACCAGAAAGACAACTTTCATATGTCGTATCATTTAATCCTGTTATCAGTACTTGGGGGCTTCAGAGAGGGACCCCCAAAAGCTTAGGAGTAAGATAAATAAAACTGTTTTCTGAGAGGTAAAATGGGAGATCAGTGCATGCTGGATCAGGAAAAAAGCTGTCTTATAAAATCATCTTAAAGAGATAAATGGCTCGTGGGCCTGCAAGACCTGATAGAACCTGATTAACTGCATAATCATAACTGACAGTGTCAGGTTCTTCTTGTGTTGGTTATTCAGGAGGATGAGCAGACACAGACAGGCAGAGAAAAACAAACGTGGAGGCCAATCCAAGCGCTATTGCAAGGAAGGCGGGAAGGGACTCAGGCCCCATTGGCCAGGCGGTTGCTCTTGAGAGAAGCCCATCCAGCAATTTCAGCCCTCGTTGTTAAACATTGGACTCATCTAACTCCATGCTGACAAGTCTCCTTCTGGCTACTATCTGGCATCCTACATAAATCTCCCTCAAGGAAGAGAATGCACTGGTCACATGGATTCAGTTCTTTTCACTGGTCTCAAGGACGCTTCTATCTCCTGGTAAATGAATAAATTGGCATCTGATGATGATTTGTCTTGCCCTGAGATCCACCCACAAGGAGGACATGAATTGGTCACATTGACACAAGTGATCTTCTTCCAAGGATAACTGTTTCCCTTCATAAAATAATAGACATCCAGAGTTTATGCGCCATCTGGAGAGCGTGGCTGCAGGGAGTGCGGTCTTCAGCAAGGCCCTGCTCTCTGGCTGCCGCCAACTCAGCTGGTTGAGCTTCAAAGCCTGAGAACCGGACGGCCTTTCACTGTTTTGACCACGGTAAGTTCATGATGTGGTGATGAATGCTGTCATATGAAGTCTCTTAGAAGAGAAGCAGCCTGCAGCCCCCTAGGGGCAGCAGGCATATACCTCTCTGCTTTGCAATCTCATTTTATGGATGAGGGAATTGAGTCTCCCAGAAGTAAAGCAACTTGCCCAGGTTCACAGAGGTGAGTTTGGAATTTAGAGCTATCTGGTTCTAAAGCCCATGTTCTTACTAGAGTGTCATATTGAATAACACTTGACATGTCTAAGATGCTTTACAATTTACAATTTCCCCCAACTAGTATCTCATCTAATCCTCACAAGAACTCTGAATAGCAGTGACACTGAACCGAAGCAGCCTTGCACTGTGTCCAGCTACAGGTTGTGAGGGACCCTGCAGCTCTGTCCAGGGTGGGGAGCCACATGGAGGCGCAGTGGGATCTAAGGGCTACTGCAGCAAGTGTTTTCCCTCTGCACAGCCACTGAGCCTGCACATGGACTAAGAGGGAGCTCCTAACGGAGCTAGTGAGGAAAGTAGGGTTAGCTGGAAGTAGAGGAATGTGTGGGTTATGCAAGAATTTCAGAACTTCTGCAGAGAGCCCAGTTTGTAAGTCACACAGGAAAGAAGATTCCTGGCCTCTGGGTTAAAACCTCCTGAGGATCTCCAGGAAGCCCTGTGGCTCAGGGCTACAGGAAACACATGAGCCACAGCCCTGAGTGTTTCTAGTCTTGTTAAACTTACTCTTACCACCTATGAAAAACCACTCTCTCCTCTCCATTCCCAAACTCCTGGTTCTTATTTTCCCTGCTGACTGGGTGGTGACAGGAGGGGGGCACATTAGGTTTGGCATTGGGCAGCACTTTTATTGGGTACACCAGTGTTTGTGAGCGAAGCAGCCTAACGTTATCATTCATGCTTTTCACAGAGGAAGACTCCGAGGTTTCTGGAGTTGAGGGTGCCTGAATCCTGTCCAGTATCTTTTCCAGTGTAAGGAAAGCAGCCCCGGGGAGCCTGCAAAGCCCTCTGGTGCCCTTTGAGGATGGTTTTCTCCAAGGCTGCCTCCTTCAAAATTATCCCAGGTGCGGAAAAAGAGAGATGGGTTCAAGCGGAGGCGGCTCCCAGCCCCTTCCAGAGAACAGTCCTGGAAACAGCCTGGAGCCTGTCTTTCCCTGCCCCAGGCCTTTGCTTCTCTACCCTCCCTTTTCTAGTAGGGAGAAAAAAAGGGCAGATTCCATTTCTCAAAGAGTGTCATACCTAGAAACTCATACCCGGGAAGACACAGTAGCTAGCTAATTCTTTGGTTTATGATGTTTTTTCCAATCATCACTTCATTTAGAAATTGAATCACATTATAATCTATTCCCACTAAATGAAATGCAGTAGTCAACTTGTTTTACAATATGGATTGATCAATATTCAGAATGGGTAGTATAGAGTGTATATTGTCTGTTTCGTCTTCTTTTGCCCTGATCCCAAAGATTTCCTTTCAGACAGACAACATCTTTTAATGAAGAAACTTTTTTAAAAAGTCCATTTGCATTATGTTAAAATGCAAGCAAAAGATAGTTGTTCAATGTGGGAAGTAGTTGGCTGACTCCACAGACTGAAACATAAAGGAACCAAAAGATCATAAGGCTGCTTTGTGCCTCAAGCAGCAACAACACACTACTTTTTCTGCCTCCTTGTTAAGTTAGAAACCAGATTCTTCATATATTACTGATTTCTATGATATTGAGTTTCAGATTCAATAGAGCAATACATTGAAACCTTTAATGGGTGTAAAGATGTTATCTCCTGAGAACGTAATAACATAAAAACTCTTCCTTAAGTAACCTTAAATAGTGGGCCCAAAACCTTTTTAAATGCCTTATATAAAATACAACTTTTGAAACTCTTTTTTCTGTAACCTTTTGAATTATAATATTCTTATGCAAATTTCAAGTCTTTATTATTTATTCATAGTCCCTCATCTATCAGGCATCCAATGGGGAGAAAAATCTTGTCTAGCAAAGTCATTAAGTGACTTAATTTTGAACATCCAACACATGATACTTAATCTTCTGAACTTAAAATTACTTTCTAACTGCACGACAAAGCCATTAATATTACAAAAAGCATTGACCTCTTTAGAGTGACTACCAAACCAGGTACTGCTCACGTGCCTCTTGATAATGGATGTAATCGAAAGAAGGTACAGCCCCCCAATGACAATAGGCAATGACTCAAAATGAACAAAAATTTTAAAGATTCTAATTCCAGGGGTCCTAAGAGTGCGGTTCTAAATTTTTCATGTTGAAATGAAATCTTCATTTCGAAGCAAAAGAAGTTTCACCTATATCTATTATGTGAATTTGAAAAAATAGAAAAAGTCAGACTATGCCTTTCTTGGCAGGGTCCCTTCACAACTGAGAAAATGAATGTGGGCAGAGGAGATTAGATCATTAAACACAGCAAACACTCTCTCATGGCATTCCCTGGAGAAATCAACATGCTTTGCCGTTTTGTCATTACTTCTTTGATTCCTTCGTAGAAATTCGTTTAGTGGAGCAAAATTCCCATAAGCCCAAATAATGTATCTTAAAGCTAAATGCACATCCAAAATGCAAATCTTATGTTTAAAAGTAAAAATTCTCCCTAGAATGATTACTTATTTGCTGTTTGAAAACAATGGTCTCAGCCAGGCATGGTGGCACACACCTGTAATCCTACTTCTTTGGGAGGCCAAGGTGGGTGGATCACCTGAGGTCGGGAGTTCCAGACCAGCCTGGCCAACATGGTGAAACCCTGTCTCTACTAAAAATACAAAAATTAGCCGTGGTAGCGGGTGCCTGCAATCCCAGCTACTCAGGGGACTGAGGCAGGAGAATCACTTGAACCTGGGAGGTGGAAGTTGCAGTGATCCAAGGTGGTGCCACTGTACTCCAGCCTGGATGACAGAGAACCCGTCTAAAAAAAAAAAAAAAAAAAAAAAAGGTTTTTTCATTGCCCTAGTCGTTATATAAATGGCAACCTGAAGATGTGGCAAGTCAGAATGTTACTAGTAAACCACAGTACCTGTTCCTGGAACCCGGAACCCCAATTCTGTATCCGCAAACAGGAACAACTTGCTGTTTTCAACTGGTCTGGAAATAATGTGCAAGGAAATAAAGGAAGGCAACAACAAAAGCTGCTGTTCCATACCTGTTCCACTGTTTCAAAGCAAACAGCTGCTCATTTCCATCCTTCCCCCTGTGCAGGGTTAAGCGGGTCAATAGAGTCAGGTTACTTTTCATTTGTTACTTTGCCAGCCAGTTGGTTATCTCTCTGGAAAACACAACAAAGAGAGAATGAAACATGCATGACCGTAAAGCTTGCAATTACAAGGCATCCACTGATACCAAAATATATGCCGCATCCCACTTCTGATCCTTTGTCAACTGGTGCTTGGTTCAACCAAACACCACTGAAGAACTGCCTCCAGTGTCTCCACCAGGACTCTCCATTAAGGAAATAAGCTCATCTCCTGACATGTGAAGTGGGTTCCTTCAAACTTCATTTTCTTTTTGGTCTACGGCTAGTACTGATCAGTTGATTTAAAATTACTGGAAAGACCATGCAATATTAATAAGCGGGAAACTTTAATTGCTCACTATTTATTAACCCAATATTTTCAAATCTGCATATTTAACCCTTGTCTAGTTAACAGGCATTGAGTCACAGTACTGACTGAGGTGGTTTTAAGAGTTAAGGCGTCTCGTGCTAATGCCCATACTCTCACAGACATTAAAAATTCTCGTGAGACAACAACTCTTATGATTTCGAGTAAGATCCCACAGACTAAAAATGTGTTACGTGAGACAGGTTTTATTCCTGAATTTGGCACAGTGGGGTCCTGAAACCTGAAGGAGTAGTTTAAGTGTGCTGCTTACCAAGACAAGTAGCCCAGCTTCAGGCAATTTTGTGTGAATGATTTAGAGCACTCTCGCCTCTAGAGGGCATTGGTATTTTAGATACCTTTGGATTTCCAGCCAGAGTTTATGAAGCTGCCCATCATCACATAAGAAGAAGAAGGAAGAGGAGGAGGAGGAAGGAGGAGGGAGGAGGAGGAGGGAGGAGGGAGGAAGGAGGAAGGAGGAGGGAGGAGAAGAACAAGAAGAAGATAAAGAAGAAGGAAGAAGAAGAAGGAAGAAGAAGAAGAAACACAAACAAATTTAGAACTAAATACCCAAGTTCCAGCATCACCTCAGTTTAAGGACAGTGTCCTTTGATGACATAAAAGTAGTTGCTATATACATATGGTGAGCTTTGTATGTTTATTGCAGCACTATTCACAATAGCAAAGACTTGGAATCAACCCAAATGTCCATCAGTGACAGACTGGATTAAGAAAATGTGGCACATATACACCATGGAATACTATACAGCCATAAAAAAGGATGAGTTCATGTCCTTTGTAGGGACATGGCTGCAGCTGGAAACCATCATTCTCAGCAAACTATCGCAAGAACAGAAAACCAAACACCACATGTTCTCACTCATAGGTGGGAATTGAACAATGAGATCACTTGGACACAGGAAGGAGAACATCACACACAAGGGCCTATTGTGGGGAAGGGGGAGGGGGGAGGGATAGCATTAGGAGATATACCTAATGTAAATGACGAGTTAATGGGTGCAGCACACCAACATGGCACATGTATACATATGTAACAAACCTGCATGTTGTGCACATGTACCCTAGAACTTAAAGTATAATAAATAAATAAATAAATAAATAAATAAATAAATAAATAAATATGGTGAGCTTATGGGTAGCTTTTTAAAAATGTATGTTTTAGTTTATGTTTCAGATTTAGTCTAATAAGAAATACTTTTAGTAAGAGTCATTCTTTTTGCACAATTAATCACTCTCCTTAACCATTAATCTTTATTTTAAAGTATTACATAGAACATTAGTTTCAAAAAGTTAAGTAACGCAGAACTCTTCAGCGAAGTGGAACTGTAGCTGAGTTTCAAAGAGAAAGTGCAGTATTCATTCAACAATTAGTCACCTATTGAATTCAAACACTGGACTAACTGCCAGAAATATACTGATAAACAAAAGTCAACACAGACCCTGGGTGTGTGAGTCAAAGAGTTACAGCCTTCCGAGAGAGGCAGCGAGCAATCAAATGGTCACCCAAAAAAGTGGAAAAGTGAGACTTTGGAGAGATACTACAAGAACATAAAATCAGTGAACAGGGGAAGATTAGAGAAAGCTTCCCTGAACAAAAACATCTAGGCAGAGATCTGAAAAGAACTAGATAAAGGAGTTGCTGGTAGTAGCAAATATATTCCAAGCAGGTGGAAGAGCATGTTCAAAGGTCCTATGTGCTTAAGTCGGAGAAATTAAAGGACATACTGATGCGTACTGTCATACATAGGACGTCATTACATGCCTGTAAGCATATGGCTTCCGATATCAAAAGATACGTCCAGAGATCAATGGGATCATATTCCACATAACCAGGTGAGGCTTTCTAGAAGTGGTGAGTTTCAAATGATGTTTGCAAAAGGAAATAACTCATGGTTAGCACATTAAACAATTCTTTGATTCAAAATGCACTAATGTATTGTAAAAGCATTGCCAAGTGGATCATTTATATTTTGAAAAAGAGAACTTAGTAGATCTTTTTGAACCAAAGAGTCCTGTCTGTGAGGTGGGAAACTGAAGCTAGAACCATGATGGGGAGGAGGGTTTTACATGCTAATCTTCCTTGTTTTCTCTATTCTCTATTTGTGGGGTCTTCACCATTCCTTTAGGGGCTTCTAGAGAACTTTTATCCACCTCTTTCAATTGCCACATATGGCTAGGGTTATTTTAAGAAATGACTGGTGCACCACCACAGAATCTGCAGCAGGTACCAGCTGAATTATTTGAATATTCCACCCGAACTATCTAACACATAAGCATTAGGGTTACATAGTCTTTCTTTTAAATTTCATATCTCAGCAAGCTCAAACACCACTTGTTTTGAACATGCGATGTGCGGGGACATGATGAACAAACACATTATTATTACTAATATTGTTATTATTTTTACTACCTCTCTACATCATTTGTGTTATTAGTATTACAATATATGAAACTCAAGCCATCACTTTGTAAATTTCAAAGAGATAAATCATCTGGTCAAGATTCATTGCATTAACTTACTTGGGAAAGGGAAAAAAACAGGTGGTTGCTTTGATTGCATAAAATGAAAAAGCTGTCGCTACTACTTCAGTATCTAAGATGTCGCTACTGAACAATTCTGGCAATTCTTCTGTAAAATCAAGTGCCTATATGTTTCTTCAGAAGAACAAACTGGTTAATTCCTATTATGTTTTATCATTTTACAAAGTTAAAAAAAAGTCCCTTTTAAAGAGAATTTACAAAGGGGAGAGAATTTTAATGTGCTGAAATCTATAAACATGTATAAAACATAGAAATACAGAAGGAGAAGCAGAGAGACCTAGATTATAACTCTCTCTAGAAGCACTTGGAAAGATTTTAAGAATTCTGACACCTGGGGCCCACCCAGACTATCCCAAAGCAAAAATCTGGCTCAGTGGTGCTGGGCTTGTGTACTTTTTAAGGCTCATGGGGTGGTTCTAAAGAGCTGCCTGGATTGAGAGCCCTGTTTACCCCGTGTCAGAGAGATCTGACTGCCGACAGCTCTCCAGTCTAGCAATGTGGAAAACACCTGCTGACCAGCAGCTGTCTGGAGGAATTTCCCACTGCCTGGGTTTCCCAAGAAAACATTTACTGAAGATAATGGCATCCTTGTGAAAAAACACAAAATAAAATTCAGTTTGACTCAAGAAGGAGTATCCAAAAACATTCTTATTTCTTAAACATTGGACAAGTCACTTTTTTTTTTTCTTTTTTTGAGTCTCACTCTGTTGCCAGGCTGGAGTGCAGTGTAGTGGCATGATCTTGGCTCACTGCAACCTCTGCCTCCCGGGTTCAAGCGATTCTCCTGCCTCAGCCTCCCAAGTAGCTGGGACTATAAGCACGTGCCCCTACTCCCGGCTAATTTTTTGTATTTTAGTAGAGACGGGGTTTCACCATGTTAGCCAGGATGGTCTCAATCTCCTGACCTCATCGAGAGGTCACACCTGCCTGCCTCGGCCCCCCAAACACAGGTGTGAGCCACCGTGTGTGGCCGCAAGTCACTTTCTTGAAGCCTATGTCTCCCCTGAAAATCATCATAAAATATAAACCCATTTTACTTTTTATCTCCTAGAACTTTTATCAAATGTCTATTACGACTTGCTAAGAATTATACTAAGAACTTTTATATACATAGATTATTTTCTAGGGTTGAAGTTTGGGAAAGTTTTAAGAAGGTACTCTCTCCCTGCCTCCCAAAATGGGAACACAGTACATTGGATGAGCTTTAAGAATCTGAATGTGTAATCCTGATAGATTTCATTCCAAATTTAAAATGCATCAGTGGATGGAATGAGTTATACAACAAATGGAAATTGCTCCCCCGTATCACAGTGCAAGGCACTATACTGGGTATTTTGGGAGACTAAGAGGTGGTGATGATGATGATGATGATGATGATGATGTTGTTTGTGATAGTAGCTAACACTAACTAGATTATCTCATTGAAGCCCTAAAAATTATAAAGTGGACTGGGCGCAGTGGGTCACGCCTGTAATCCCAGCACTTTGGGAGGCCAAAGCTGGTGGATCACCTGAGGTCGGGAGTTTGAGACCAGCCTGGCCAACATGATGAAACCCGATCTCTACTAAAAGTACAAAAAATTAGCCAGGCATGGTGGTGGGCACCTATAATCCCACCTACTCAGGAGACTGAGGCAGGAGAATCGCTTGAACCCAGGAGGCAGAGGTTGCAGTGAGCCAAGATCGCACCACTGCACTCCAGCCTGGGCAACAAGAGCGAAATTCCATCTCAAAAAAAAAAAAAAAAAAAAGTATGAAATGGGTGTTTTTATGCACTCATTTTCTAGAGGAGGAATTTAAGATTGAGGAGGTTGAGTGATTTGCCCAAGGTGACCAGCCAGTAAACAGTGGACTCTGGCTTTGAAATCAGGCTGGTTGATTCCATAGCTTAAGCTGTCACCCATTACAGAGCTTTGCTTCAGGAGCTTGTAATTCCAGGGGACTGCTGCCTACTATATTCCCTTGCTTACCAGTCTATGACTGTGCCAAGTGGTGCATGTTTTAAAGCTCAAGAAAAACATTGGGGTAATGGACTTAAACAAGCGTGTTCACTACCAAGCGTGTTCACTAATAAAATCCAACTCACAGTTCCAGTGTCAAGGTTAAGA